ATAAATAAATAAATAAATAAATAAATAAAAAGAATTAGTCCAGATTTATTATCTCTTACTTTGTTTTTGTTTTTTTGAAAAGGAAAGCAGAAAGAAATCACAGATAAATTATTCATATAACTAAAGATTTTATTAATAATACAATCTCCTAATACTTTTATTTTTGTAATGACATCATCTTCCACATTGATTTAATATTGCAAATGAATAGTATTGCATTAGAAGAACTGCTGAAACAAAAGGAATACTTGATTGAGATTTGATTGAATTTGAAAGCTTTACAATATGAAATTTGGAGCAATACTGGGTCTTTTCTATAGATTATTGCTGAAATATGACTCAGAAATAATGAATAAGTTAAAGACTTATAATTATATAAATGCAAAATTAGTTATAATGATAGATATGCAAGTAAGGGAATTTAAATGGAAGGAGAATCAAATTTATATACCTTACTTGCAGAAAATTAATGTAATGTATTTTATTTGCTTGCATATATTATAGGTCTGATTGCTAAAACGTATAGTTCATTTTCTGAATATTGTTGGAAATATAATGATTCAGTCAGATCAAGGAAGAATGTTTGATCCTCTTGGTAGAAGAATGGCTAAAATCAATTCATCTCCCACAGGAAAAATATACAGATTTGAAAGAACCAGTTTTTTTCATCAGGAGAAATAGAAAATGGAGTTCCAGAATTTCCGGAAAGGGGTTTAGTACCTCCTGTTACAATATTACAGGAGAGAAAGAATCTACAGTTGTGTTTTTCTCAAAATTGATAAACTGAAGAGTAAGATGACAGTCCTCTTTATATCTGATTACTCTAATTCAACAATTTCAAATATTTTGGGAAAAAAATTATCAGACAAACAGCTTGAGTGCAACAGAAAGAATAAAATATTTCATAAATTATTACTTATTGAGTCAATTGTGATTTGAGTCATAAGTATCACTAATACTGTTCTTCTTCTCTGTAGATTTTCCAGAAACAAATGACTGAAGCAGGCTGTCTCTCGGAAGCCGAAATGGGATTAATCTTTGTCAACTGGAAAGAGCTCATATTGTGTAATACAAAGTTATTGAAGTAAGTGCTGCTACTGTTTTGTTAATTTTTGTCCTGCTAAGTGCCTCAATCCAAAACAGCAATCATATCATTAAGTTACATCCCAACCTACCCCAATATTGTTGAATGGAGACACAAGTTACCTATTAGTACCTCTTACCCAGTGGTGGGTTCCTGATTCCATTCCAACCGGTATGGTTGGAATGACTCCGGCATCACCTGCTCCAGCTGCTCAGCTGAGCATCATGCAGGTGCTGTACGTGCTATGCGCATGCGCGGATGTGCCGACAGCTTTAAAACACGGTATGTAGCGCAGGCCGGTGGGCACTCCAGAGCACCATACCGGAACGGTACCCGGTGCTCTGGGCAGGATTCAGTACACCCGTACTGGGGCGCACCTCCTGCAACCCACCACTGTTCTTACCTCAGTTTTTAAATTTTCTCCAAAATATAAAGAGAATGTGTCCCTGCTTTCTTCCTTAAGGTTATTCCATTGTCTTTTCTGCCATCTATTACCTGATTTGATAAGAGTTTAAAGGGAAAAATTCCTAGTTTGGCATTCACCGTCTCATTTGATTGCAGTTCCAAAGTTCCTCTTACTGAACTTTCCTTTTGATTGCCTCTGTTCACTCCTTTCCATTATTTGAGAGATTCTAAACTAGAAATAGATGCTTATTATGTGTAGGATAAATTACAGCCTGTGCACCTAGTGAGGCACTGGGAATTCCAGGATGCTCATAGATACCTCCTTTAGCATAAAAATGATAGTAGACTATAATCCAATGTTTTGTTTGGACATTGAGATAAGCTGGGATGGTTGACATCTAATGCTAAGTTTATATTTATAACTTGCTTCTGGGCCTTGTAAATAAGATTGACTGAGTGATGAGATTGATTGATTGATTGATTGATTGATTAGTATTGCCCTAGAAGGCTTCATGAGGTGTTGGAAAGCAACCTTGTTAGTGTTCCTTCTTCCTAATTAAAAGCTTTGTGTATTGTCATACCTACCAAGACAGCCATTTTGCAAAATATTCAAATTCCAAGTTGGCAAGTTCTGAGAGACTGCATTTTACCTATTTGGTGTGCTTGTCCAATCCACATCTCTCCTATTTCCCAGTGTCCTGTGAAACAAAGCCTTGCTTGCAAGGCCTTCTGTAGCTTCATCTTTCTGGAATTTCTAGAGTCAATCTGTTTTCCCATGATTTTTTTTTCCCAGAGCCCTTCGGGTGCGTAAGAAGACTGTGGGGGAAAAGATGCCAGTACAGATGATTGGTGACATCTTAGCTGCTCAGTTATCTCATATGCAAGCCTATATTCGATTCTGCAGCTGCCAGCTTAATGGAGCTGCCTTGTTACTGCAAAAAACAGATGAAGAACCAGAGTTCAAAGAATTTTTGAAAGTAGGCTGTTATTTACTCTTCACTATCTTTCCTTTCCCTTTGGGTTGCATGTGCAAGTGTAACAGTAACTTTTTCTACTTGAAGAATAGAAAGCCTTGACTCCCTCTCCAAAAAGCAAAGGTACCCCTACTGAACGTTGTAACAGCATGTATAACTTGCTGTACGGTTATAATTTAATTACTCTGGTGTCCATTAATTTGACTCAAGCCATTTTTTTCCACTGTAAAAATGTAGAGCTGTTAGCAGTTTAACAAGGATTGTTGCATAGTGATTAGGGGAAGGGCAAAATGTGTAAGTACATGTTGATGCATGTACAAAAAGGACAGGGCATTGATTGCAATGTTGTACCTGCCGTGTTGCAGGTTTGACATATACAAATAACCTGTGGGTGGTGCTGAGATGATGCCATGATTTAGATCAATGAATCTGCCTTCCTTCTTTCTAGATTTCCTTTATAAAAATATTTAGCACATTGAAGGGAATATTAAATTAACTGAGACATATTCAGTTGGTTAGTTTTATTCTGTCCATTTTCTGTACATTAATCATTCTAGGAACCAGTTGACATGACTCCGACTCTTATCCTATTATTTATCTTTTTGTATGCATATGTCCATTGGAGGGAATCATGTCGTTTCTGAATTATGAAAGCCCTTTGCTACATTTAAAATGAAAAAAAAATATCAATATTAAATATAAGGCTGCTATTTTGCCCAGTTCTCAGATTTCCTGAAAAGCAGCTTTATTGTAGTTTTCAAAAGTTAAGATATTAGAGGCACAAGTGACTGGTTATGAAACATAGAAAATCAACTTTTATAAACTTTTCAGAAGCTAGAGATGTTCTATATTTCTATAATGTGTGTTTCTGTTTCAAATTTGTTTAAACTTGCAGAAATTGGCCTCAGATTCCCGCTGTAAAGGCATGCCCCTGTCCAGCTTCCTCTTGAAACCGATGCAGAGAATCACTCGCTACCCTCTGCTCATCAAGAGCGTGAGTACCCAGTTGCTCTTTTTCTGAATCTCTGACTAACTTACCTGATGTGGAAGGGTGAATACAGCATAGCAAATACATTTATGAAAATGTAGCAATGGGTTTTTTCCCCTCAATATTGCCTTTTACTTAAGCCATGAGTTAATTTGTCTTTTTCTGCAACCAGATTCTGGAGAATACCCCTGAAAGTCACCCTGATCACAATAATCTGAAGCAGGCTCTCGAGCGTGCTGAAGAATTGTGTTCCCAGGTGAATGAGGGGGTGCGTGAGAAGGAGAATTCAGACAGACTTGAATGGATACAGTCCCATGTCCAGTGCGAAGGACTTGTTGAGGTAACTGGGGCTTAGTGGTCAGGAGATCCAACTCAAATGTGCTATTGTATAGTTCCTATGACATGGAAGAAATGTTAGATAACACCTCATAAATCCTTAGATAATATCTGAATTACATACCTAATAACCTAATCAATTAATCCATGCTTTATATAGACAATGTATATAGAGAATTTAATCAGATTTTTTTTTTAAAGAAAAAGATGCTGATTTAATGAACTCTACGTAACAATGGCAATGAAAGAAATACTGGGGTCATGCACTGCCCCAGGATATGCAAGTTCCATAATGCTTTCTGTAAATAGTTATCCCTTCTGAGACATTGATTTGTTTCTAGATGAATGAGAAGCATGCCTTTTAAGAAAATAAAAGATGTTAAAAGAAATGAAATCTCTTAGTACAAAACCCCAAAGCTATAGAAAGATGTTTTACATCTTCCAAAATAATTAGTTCAACTTCCAGAAATGTTCAGAAGAATGTTGTTTCATTATATCTTTATAAGCCTGTTAGAACACAAAAGCAAAATCCAACACCTATTAAAAGTATTTCATAGACACTAAATATGTAAAAATGTCATATTCCAAATTGAGAACATTGAATCATTTGTTAGGACTAATTATAATAAATGCTACCAGCAACATGGTTTTAAATGGAATAATTTATATGGCAAAGAAAACCAGTATGCTTTGCATCATTTTCTTTCTCTCCTAGCAACTGATTTTCAATTCACTGACCAACTGTTTGGGACCACGGAAACTTCTGCACAGCGGCAAACTTTATAAGACAAAGAGCAACAAAGAACTCTATGGTTTTCTCTTCAATGACTTTCTGCTTCTCACCTACATGGTGAAGCAGTTTGTCTCTACAGGATCAGATAAACTGTTCAGCCCCAAATCAAATTCCCAGTTTAAAATGTACAAAGTGGTGAGTGAATTCAAGAGTATTTTTGACTGGGAGGACATGGGATTTATAGGAATAGAAATATGTTGTTCTTTAACCTGTAACTTTCTTCTTTCAATATGCAGCTGGCGTTAATTGTATTATGCCACCTTCTAATTAGCAATAATAGTTTTGAATTTACTGATCAAAACTCAGATTGTAGATAAAGTCATTATATGTATCAATGGGACTTATTTTTTCTAAGCTAAGTATTGGTTAGAGGCATAATGCACACAAATTATGGGAAATTTTTTTAAGAACAAGGTTGCTCCATTCAATATCATTATTTAGCCTAATTTCAGCAGCATACCATTAGATAAAAGCTTCTATTTCCTTCTTAAGATAAGTTAAGGAGCCATACTGGTTATGAAAGTGTTGCTGAATTTTATTTTTATGCTATTAAATTTACTTTTGTGCATTCAAATTTGGATGAGTTTCTAGAGGCACGTTTTTTTCTTGGCTGTGAGCACATGGATGATGTATGCTGTGGCTATTTAACTGTGTCAAGCTTTTTGGAGAAGCCTGTCTATTCCTTTGGCTCATCTAAATATGAAAGTCATCATTCCTTGTAAGAGATGAAACAACAAATATACACTTGGGAAGGAATTCCAAGAGAATCCTTGATGTGAAGATTAAACTTATTCTCCTTAAGATGTGTAGAGCTATATTCAACACTTTTATTTTTTAACAAAAATGTAATTTGTGGACACAATAGGTTCTTAGAAAGAATGTCTGCCAGATTTAAAAAGAAAATAATAGGTGAAGTAATTATGGTTATCAAATTCCTTCAACTTGTGTTTTTAAAGAAAAGGTCAATGCACTGAATTAAATATTATTTGACCCTTCTTTCAAAATCATTCCTAATTTCAGATACAAAATTTTATTCAAAACAAGCCTCTTCAGATTAGCAGATTTTTCAATCCCTCTGTGCTAATCAGCCTGTCACTTTTGCTGAAATGTTTGAACTAACTGAATCTGTTTCTTCCAGCCTATTTTTCTTAATGAAGTCCTAGTGAAATTGCCAACTGACCCTTCTAGTGATGAGCCAATTTTTCACATCTCCCATATTGACCGAGTCTACACACTGAAAACAGACAATATAAATGAGAGGTGAGCCTCCAAATTCTTGGCTACAAAAGGAACAAAACATTTTCTGAATTTCTTTCCCATGAAATGTCAAAATGTATACTGTTTTTTTTTTTGTTGTTGTTGTTATGCTTGTTCTTGGATTCTTGACTGTAGTAAATCTTTTATTTATATCCAAAAGGCTAATATGAGAATGTCATTAAAAACAAAGTGTTCAAACACAAATGTATATCACAAATTGGCAGCATAGTTTGACTTTGTATCTTAATACCTAAAAAATATAGATTGATATAGATTTTAATACCTAAAAAATATAGATTGATAATTTCATGAATTGCAGAAATTTCTCTGTAACCCAAAACTGGATATAATGAAAGTAAAAAAAATACTAATTGCCTTAAGTGTACAAAATCCCTTAAATAGTCTGTTACTGCTTTAACATTCTATAATAAATGGTATTTAGAATAGAGAAATTTGCTGCATTTTGTTATATGGCTACAAACATATTGATCAGTATGTCCCAGGGTGGGTTCCGACAGTCACCACTACTGGTTCGCTCGTGCCCACGCCCTGCATGCATGCTTGATGCACGCTGCACATGCATGCACAATGCAATAAAAATTGCTCTGCACATGTGCAGAAGCAAAAAACAAGATAGCGGTGCCTATGGCTGCACCACCCAGAGAACCGGTTTGGGGGCATTGCAGGCCTGGGTCGCTATCGGTTCCAGCGACTCAGGCCGCCAAACCACTACAGCTTCAGCTGAACTGGTAGGAACCCACCACTGAGTATGTCTATATATGTACTATATATCAAATATTTAAAGATTTCTTATATTTCATATGTTTTCAGGAGTCAATAATTAGGAATGAAATTAGAATGTGGCATTCACAGATTTGCGTTCCGATGAAGTCAAACCTCTTAAGTTTTTTTTTTTTAAATGAATGGAATAGAATAGAATAGAATTGGTTTTATTGACAAATGTGACTAGACTCACAAGGAATTTGTCTATATTATTGTTCTTTAACAAAATTGTTTATTCTTGTAGAACTGCCTGGGTCCAGAAAATTAAAGGCGCCTCAGAACAATATATTGAAACTGAAAAAAAGAAACATGAAAAGGCTTACCAAGGTGCTGCGATTGACTGAACTTTTAGTAGTAGCTATTTTTGTGTTTTTGTGAGATTGGAAGGATTTGACATTTATGTCGTGATATATTTTGTTAGCCAGGTGACATTTTCAAAAATTCTAAGACAGCAATATTCATTGGGTTTTTAAATGAGTTGAGTAGTACCATCTCTAAACATGTACTAGATTCCTTTTTACTTAGGTGTAGATGTGTTAACTGAAAAACACTGATTGTACACTGACCTGTATAAATACCAATTGACAACCTAGTTGCTGTAGTATCCAATTTTCATGAAACAATCCCAGATCAACTTGCAAAATGCAGAAATAGCTTTTGTGCAAACCTGCCAATAGATAGCATGTTCTGATAGCATGTTTTTTCCACATCTCATTTTTATTTCTTTTTCAGCTCGATCACAGAAAAGCTCAGGAATAGGACGCTTGATGGTGCATGTGATTGAAGCAACAGAATTGAAAGCCTGTAAACCTAATGGTAATAATTCAGGGATGGATGGTCAACTATCTGGTCAAATAGTTTAAACTAATTGAGAGGGGATTTGCTGTTAGCAGTAGAGGCTGCCAAGCATGTATTTCCAAAATATAATATGTAGCCTTACAGGGGAAATCTTTTTTCCTGCATACTTATGGGGGAAATATGTATGAATAATAAAGGTGGGATATAAATTAAATAAACATGCTGAAGGTAATTGCAGACATTTATAACCAGATATTAAAACCATAAAGTTGTTCTTTGGAGAAACTGTTGTGAATGCACCCTTTTGACCTTCTGGAAGGTATTAAAACCTGGCTGTGCCAGTTGGCTTGGTGCTCTGTGTTGGAGGAGGCAGGTGGTAGAACAGGTAGTCCTCGACTTACAACCACAGTTGAGCGCAAAATTTCTGTTGCTAAGCGAACTAGTTAAGTACGTTTTCCCCCATTTTATGACCTTTCTTGCCAGAGTTCTTAAGTGAATCATTGTAATTGTTAACTAACACGGTTATAAAGTGAATCTGGCTTCCCCATTGACTTTGCTTGTCAGAAGGTCGCCAAAGGTGATCTCGTGACTCCAGGACACGGCAACTGTCATAAAGCTAAACCAGTTGCCAAGCATCCAAAGTTTGATTACATGAAAGGTTGTAACTGTCAGTTGCCAAGCGGCTGAATTTTGATCAACCTGACCATGAGGATGCTGCAATGGTTGTAAATATGAACAATGGTCATGTCCGTTTTTTCAGAGCCGTTATAACTTCGAACAGTTGTTAAATAAACTGTTATAAGTCAAGGACTACCTGTATGATGCCACCGGTATACCAATCTTGCCTTTGGTTTTTATTTCCATATTTAAGGTACTTAATATTTATTATTTTAATTGTAACCCGCAGAGTTGCTTTGCAGAATGCGATGGGTAGCATATAAATTTAATATATAAATAAACAAATGTACTTCTGTTTTGAATTAAGGAAAAAGCAATCCATATTGCGAAGTTAGCATGGGATCTCAAACCTACACTACCAGGACGCTGCCAGATACCTTGAATCCCAAATGGAACTTTAACTGTCAATTCTTCCTCAAAGACCTTTATCAAGATGTATTGTGTATCACCATGTTTGACAGGGATCAGTTTTCACCTGATGGTATGTGTGGAATTCTGTGTTTCAAATATTTAAAATTCCCTTCCAATTCTAGTGAATAGAAAACAGAAGCATAGGCTCAAAAAGTTCAAAGATCCCTACTGATTTTGATTGCCCAGAATATGCTGCGATAATGCTTAATTTTCTTTATTTCTCTAAGATCACTCTTCATTTGTCTGTTCATGATTATGTTGCACATTTGGTAATCTGACTTAGGAATTTTGTTGTTGTTATGCAGAATTTTTGGGTCGCACTGAAGTTCCTGTAGCCAAAATCAGGACAGAGCAAGAAAACAAGGGACCTACAACTAAACGTTTACTACTGCATGAAGTACCAACAGGGGAAGTTTGGGTACGCTTTGATTTACAGTTATTTGATCAGAAAACACTTGTTTAAAGAGAAAAAAACATTTTATTTATAACAGCCAGGACCAGCATAGATCATTGAACTGCTCTTACTGGCATGTTTTACAAGCGGCGCATATATACTGCTGCAAAATCATTTTGCCTGGTGACACCGTCATTATCTCTCCTGGTATATATTATTTAGCTCTGTGCTTTGCACTCCTATGTTGGTGGCAATCTATGCAATATACTGTATATGAGATAATATAAGAAAGTGCCTTTCTTTATTGAAAGTAAATATTTTTAAAGCAAATGCCAGTGTTTATTTAATGTTGATTTCCTTTAATGCGTTAACAAGGAATCTGGCTATTTGAAATATCTCTGCTTAGATTTCAATGAACCATAGGATATTTTAGTTCTGGGCTAAAATCATTCTTCAGGTTCAAAAAATGGAGTCTGTTTGACCCTTATCTCAGGTTATCTCAGGATATAATTGTGGAAGAAGTTTCAGCACTTCAGGATCCTTTCAAAATTATATATTGACACAAAGTGCAGCCTTTAAAAAACTTGTTTCAATTTTAAAGGGGAAATAATGTCTGTCAATAATTTTGCAAATTTACCAAGATTTTTTGGTGGTAAATAAGATAACTTCTTTTGTATAATGTGGGACATAATGACTCGGGCTATGTGACTCATCTGCAGAAGCAAACAACCAAAGCACTCTATAAAGCCACTGCTTAAGGCATCTGGAGGCCATATCCTCTTCAAGGTGGCCCATCAGCAGCAATCCCAGCAAACTGTGTGCAGACAATAGGGAGCAGCCTTTGGAGCAGCCTTGCCAAGCCACCCTGATTGATGCTCAAGCCATGGCTTCAGAGAGTGCTTCCAAATGATTCACATGGCCTATTAATGTTTTGAAAAGTGGAGTTTCTTGCAGATCTCAATAAAACATGCAGCTGAAACATGTCCAACTCAAAGATTCCAAGGAGGAGGAAGTGTTACCTTGGTCGCTATAATAAATAAAATAAGCTGGTGAATATACTGTAATTTATCTACATATTAATATGTGGCATATTGCTTTTTTTAAGCCAATTGTATTGTATTCTGGAATGTAAATGAGTAAGAAAGAATCTAGGAATGAAACCGTGCAAAATTGTCAATGTTTTAAAACCAGTTATATTTTCTACTTGAATTGCTGTATAGGATTTTATGGAATTCAATATTCAAGTCAAGAGTGTTCGTCTAAACTCCTCTGATATGGCTTTACTAATAGAGCTTGAGCACAGCTAGTGTTTATTTATTTGCAATTTTTTTAAAATGTGCTGCAATTGAACCATATTCTTTATTGGGAAGGGTTCCTCTTTATAGAATGTAAGGGTTGAGCAAGAGCTGTGTATTTTGAATATACATCTCGGGTATATGTATTACTTTTAATTTAAAACAATGAATGAAGTTGTATGCCTTAAGTGCTGCCTTTCCATGTAGCTAAGTGAATTGCAAACCTGAGAAAGAGTTTTCTGAAATGCAATTTTTATTAATATGAAATAAAAACCTTTGTTCCCAAAAGTATATATTCAATTAATTGAAGTTAAATACATTGTATAAACGTCTGTATGATAATCAATTCTGGGTAAGTGGGAAAGAATTAAGCACTATTAAAGTTTACATAAGCCAAATTGCAATTTAAAAACTCCAATACATTGAAGAGGGAAAAAAGTCATGCCATAAGAAAACTATTACATTTAAAACAAAAACATTTGAAAAGAAAGAAATCTGGTGGTTCTGCCAGGAGATACAATTTATCTTGAAATTCATGTACTCATACACACAAGCATATTTCTTGGATACAGAGAAAGCAAAACATAGCTCTACAGAGTGCTACAAAGATAATTTTCTCACAATTTTAGACCATTTGAATTTTTCGTTCCTTTTTTTTTGCAACTGATATGCTTCAGCCAACAGAAAAAGAGAAAATTTCAATATTAAAAAGATCTTCCAAGTAGAAATTTTCACTCAATTGTCCTAACATCCATTCCTTCCCAAAATACATCAGGAGAAATAATCTGCCTGGTAACAGTACACGACTACCTTAATTCATCAATATATTTCTGGTTCTTTTCTACTTTTCTCAAATGTGTATGGTACATGTATGTGTATCCGGAACATCAAGCATGCACATTATTTTATTTATTTGCCATCGAATAATTGGGCCTCAAGTTCTACTGCTATGCAATGAAACTTTTCACTTTACCTCAAGAGATTATGTTTAGCGGAAGAAGACTATACTTATTCTAATTAGGTATATTTTAACAGTTCACAACCATGAAGCAATGTAGGATTAGGCAACTTGCTTGAAATTACTTCCACTTCAGTCTCTGAAATTGAAAGTTGGAAAAATAACGCTTTTATTTGAAAAAATATATATTTTTCTGTAAGCTGGAACACTAATTATATATTTGTTCCTGCACATTATTTAGGTTTTACAGCTTCAGTACTTGTCCAAAAAGACAATATCATAAAACTGAATCAAATGAAGTTGAAAGACAGTAAATTAAATGGATTTTAAAAAATCATTTCTGGTGATAGAGGAGGATTTTATGAAAGAAAACATCAGCTCTGAGCTTTAAATATAAACTCTTGAATAACTCTTAACTCTGTCGAAGAAGATCCCTTACTTTAAAATGTAAAAAAGTCTATATCACACCAGGAGCAATATCACTAATCCCTCAATGAGCCGAAGAGTTTTTTAGCTGCTTTGTGGACAGGCTGTTAAATTTGCTTTGTATCTGAATAGGAAAACGACTTTCAAAAACAGCAAAAGTCATATTCATACTAAAGTTATGAAAGTCTGTTCTGTCTTTTGAAACAATTCATCTGGGGTCAGCAGAACCTTGGATTTAAAGACCAAAAGATGCTTTGGAGCATGTAAGGCACTCACCTAGCATCTGATTGCAACTTCTTAAGACAAATGCATTTTTCCCAGCAGCTACAGCAAGCACACACACTTGCAAAAAAACCACAGCTGCTTTTCAGAGCATATCCCTGTATGCCCCAAAACATCATTTTATCTCTGTATCTGAAGCACTGTCTTACTCATATTGCACTTAAGCTTCTGAAATAAAGTGTATTTATGTAGTAAGCTCTGTGATTTTCCCCTATAAGAAAATATAAAGCAGCTACTTAGCAATACTTTAGAAAGCAGTAATACATAATCACAATTTTAAGCATTTAAGCATAAAATCCCCGTATCCTGTGTTTTACTATTCTCAGTAGTCCCTGATGCAGAAATAAGCTTCTAATCATTCCTTCTAAGTAATTGAATCACACTGTTATGCACCAAATTTGGCATTATCCCTTTTACAAGGAATCAGTTTCAAAGAAAGATCAATAGGAAGCAGATTTTATTTTTGGTTTCCAAACTGATGGGCCGGTAAATATTTGTTTTGACAAAAGACTGGCCATTTGGGTGAACTCGTTTTTCCTGACAGGGGGTAATCTCTCCTTCAGTGGAGGCCAGGGTGAGTCACCCCAGCTCTTGAAATCCATAGAAGTCTGGTTTCTAGTTGTGCTCATTTTTTGCCTTTTAACAAAATAAAATTAGGATGGTTAATGCTATCCATTATTCTAAGTATCAGCGTTTAACTCTGTTGAACCAGTTGTATGCTCTGCTACACTGATGCTGCTTGACACTCAAAAAGGTGGCCAATTTTCAAACATTACCTTTTGATTTCAGTGATACATAAAACCAAACCTTGTTACTGTTGATGATGATTGAGCTGTGGACAATATAAAATGCATAGTGAACGAGCAACATGGAATTACATTCTGTGAGGGAGAGGACAAATCGTCTTCAGTGGGAAGCCTCCTCCCCTTGGCTTTAAAAGGCAGACTGTTATAATGTTGGCAGAAGGCCTGGGGCTAGACCCGGATCATTTCCTGTTTTGAACCGGAGAGCAGGTTCCTGACTTTCCTGGTTGTTGAGCCCCTAGGAAGAAAGTTTTATTTCCTTCTTTCTTGCTTTCTCTTGCTCTTTACCTTTCCTAGCTCTCATATGTGACTTCCTATAAAAAAGAAGAAGAATAAGAACAGGAACCACACACTTCCCTAGAGGTAAATTACAAGGATTGTTCCTGCCAATTCCTCTTGTTTTCTGGAACTGAAATTTCAAGGTCACTATTGGATCTAATTACTGCAACATTGCCTACCTAATTCCATTGTTCCTCCAAAATATAGGTCAGACTATGAATGTTTACTGTTTAAGCAAAGCCATTATGTTTTAAGTGGGTCAGATGAGGGGGGTTGGTTTTCTTTTATTCTAAAACTGACCTTTAATAAGGAAGGGGGTAACTAATGCGAAAAAGAGTAAAAAGAAAATTTAGTTATTTTGCTAAATAACTTCAATACATTTGGAAAAGAGATGGTTAGTGATATGTTAGAATGTCAGTTGCATTCATCATCATTCCATTTGTAATTCTTATGAAGGTGGGCCTTATTGAAGGATCCCTAGAAGTGCTATCCTGAATTCCACTTCACAGAAGAGGTTATCTTGCTACAAATCACCAATTATCTCACAAAGCCTAGTCCTGAACCAATGAAAGTGAAAATTAAAGAAGAACTAAAGAAGAGTATGACTCATTTAGTTTTAAATTGGAGATCAGAATCTCAGCTCGATACATTATGAATGTCTTTGTGTATACTTGAATACAGATTGGGGGCAGCCTCAAATGAGAGTATAAGAATGGATTTCCTCTATTAGAGAAGAGGGACTACTTCTCTCAGGTCCAGCAGAAAGGGTATGGTAAGAGTCCTGTCCATGAAGGAGTCTCATCTGATGGGATCTGATGGTTATACTTAGTGATCAAAGACTTGCACTTACCTGCTTTTTTATGAATGTTGGTTTCAATTACGTATTTATTTAGCTATTGTGTTTTACTGTTTTCCTATGCTTGTTTATTGGTTGTGCTACTGTATTTGGTTGTTTTTAACTATGAACTGTCCAAAGTCATAAATAAGAGGTGGCAGATATACAACAGGAAAAAATAAAATAAAAGACACATTTTATATTGAACTGCCCTAACGATCTTCAAAGTAATAAAAGACAGCAATTTGCTCATAGTGGTTACCCATCACAATTTTTGCCTCAAAATACAGGATCATATAATTTTTCAGAGAATATATTTTGATCCCTTTTGAAACACTCTAACAAGAGTTCTTTATGCCAAACAATACATTGTCTAAATGCAGAAAAAGCAGCTACAGATGTCTATCCCACAGACTTACAAGGTAAAATTAATAATATTGATATTCTTTTATATGAAAAATATTCTGGGATTTTTAAACAACTATTTTTATTACTAATACACCAATGTCATTAACTAGCATATTGTCCTGCACACAATATTCTCAGTTCTATTCTGTGCAACACAGAGATTTTTGATATTTTCTCTGATGGTTCATTATATTCCTCTTCCAAGAAACCACTTTATCCTGGCTTGGATAATTTTTTTCCTCTGTCTACAGTTTCATATAATTGTTTTTCTGGCAAATCTTAATTTAATTTCTTCTCACTTATCTTATTTGGGGGGAAAAGTCACAATTATTCCTCAAAAGTCAGAGGTGTTGTTTTTTTTTAACTAGCCTTGTATCTAAGGATGTGAATTCACACTTCAGGCGGCTTTTTCAATTTTCCTTAACAGTTTTCAATGAATTTCTAACAGGATTTCTCTTTCAAATTACTATCAGGAAAAGTCCCTATTTTAGGACAAGAAAAAAACATGACTTGATTTAAAGCATAATCTAGGCCAGTGATGGCGAACCTTTTTTTTATGGCGTGCTAAAATTGTGCGCACGCGCTACCACCACCACCACCACCGCATGCCCACTCAATTCCCCACCCAACTCTGCATGTGCACGTGACCCGCGCATGCGCATGCACCCCCTCCCCAGGCTCCGGAGGCTTTCCTGCAGCCTGGGGAGGGCAAAAATGCCCCCCGCCCCCCTAGAGGCCCTCTGGAAGTCAGAAACGGATCATTTCCAAACTTCCGGTTAACCTTTTGGGGCGTTTTTTGCCCTCTCCAGCCTTCGGAGGCTTTACTGAAGCCGTTTCCAGCTTCTGGGGGGCCTCTGGGAGGCTGGGGGGGGGCGTTTTTGCTTCAGGAGATGGTGGTTGTGAGCCTCGGGGCTCCCGGGTGGCCCATGTGCACAGGGCGTTGAGCTGGCTCTGGTTGCAAAATGTCAGAAAATTCCCCATTTTTCAAGGTGGCATCCAAAGAGAATGAAGCGGGCACGGGCGCTTCTTCCAAAAGCCGAGGGCCCAGCTCCTGTTCCTTCCTCGGCTGTTGGAAGAGCACTGTGCCCGTTTCATTCTCTTTGAGAGGCACCTTGCTTGCCACAGCACGAGGCGAGTGCTGCTGGGGAGAAATCACCTGGAGGGGGGAGAAGAAAACAAATTTGTGGTAGGGATGGCCTTCTCCTCCTCCTCCCCAAGATTTCTCCCTGGCAGCGCTCGCCTCGTGCAGCAGCAAGTGATGTGCATGTGTGTGTAAGGGGAGCTGGATGGAACCAATCAGCTGGGAAGCTGGAAAAAAAGCCTGGTTTCCCCACTGCTCTTGGAGGAAGGAGGCAGGGATGCTGGCTGGCGCTCACTTCCCTTACTGTTCACCGCCGCCGCCCCTGCAGGATGGAGCATTACCGCCCCCCGCTGGCTGCAGCCCAGGCCCTGCCTGCCCTGCTTAGCTGGTCAGCTGGCCGGGAAAGTGGCAAGGAAGCAAGTGGCGATGAGCAGTTAGGGAAGTGAGCACCAGCCAGTATCTGCCAGGGGAAAATCAGGCGGAGAGGGAGAAAGCAAAGCTTCTGCTACTGACCCCCTTCTCCCTCTCTTCCCGATTTCTCCCCGGCAGCCCTAACTGTCCCTAGCAGAAGTTTCTTTTCTTCTCCCCCTCCCGCTGATTTCTCCGTGGCAGCGCTCGCCTCATGCCATGGCAAGCACAGTGTGTGTGTTTGTGTGTGTAAAATGGGGGCTGGATGGGACTGATCAGCTGGGGAAACCAAGGCTTCTTTGCCAGCCTCCCAGCTGATTGGTCCCATCCAGCCCCTTTCTTACACACACACAGAGACACCACTTGCTGCCGCGTGAGGTGAGCGCTGCCAGGGAGAAATCAGGGAGAGGGAGAAGACCATCCCTAGCAGAAGTTTGTCGTCTTCTCCCCCTCCCGCTGATTTCTCCCTGACAGCTGCGCGGCAAGCAAGGTAGCTCTCAAAGAGAAATGAGAATAGCGGCAGCTGTTGCGCTGCTGCTTCCAGCCGGATTATATTCTGCCAGGCTGGACAGCTGGGGCCACGCAAGAAGCCTGCTTGGGTGGGGAGGGAGGGAAGCCCTGACCACAGCTCTGCTCTGCTAAGAAGCGATGGCAGAGAACCCCTCTCTGTGTCTTTTGGCACACATGGATGTTGCTCTTCCTGTTCCTGGTTTTTGCATGTGCATGCATGCCAGGAACCAGATTACCAAATGGCCGATGCACATGCGCACCCTGGAAAGATCATTTTCCTGGCGTGTGCATGCGCACCGGGTGGCTCCTTTTCTGCTTTCTGGCACATCAATGCATGTGAAGATCAGCTGGCTGCTGTGCCCGAACCCGCAAGAGCAACTGGTGATGGCTCCGCAAGCCCGGAGAAATGGCTCTGTGTGCCACTTCTGGCACGCGTGCCATAGGTTCGCCATCACAGATCTAAGCTGAGTTAGGCCTCCCACTTTATGCGTACATAGACCACAAAACGCTCTATATAGGAGGCACACTAAAATGGCAATCGTATAGTATTTCACAATCTTAGCAACTTGGAGATATGAGAACTTTGAGAAGCCTGTGATGAACACAAAGAAAGAAGTCTCATATTGTGAGACTGTTAGTGTGTAGATAACAGTAATAAGAATTTCAGTTTTCCATGTATCAATTAAATATACAAACTTCAACAAATTTCCCAACAAATTTTGTAAGCAAATTTTCAAGCTTCAATGAAGTTGAAGGAATTAGATATGTGTAGCCTAATGAAGAGAAAAACTAGCAGTGACATGATAGCAGCATTCCAATATCTGAGGGGCTGTCATGCAGGAGAGGGGGTTGACCTATTCTCCAAAGCACCTAAAGGGAAGACAAGGAGTAAATGGATGGAAGCTTATCAAGGAGAGATTCAACCTAGAAGTAAGGAGAAATTTACTAATTAACCAATGAAACGGCTTGCCTTCAGAAGCTGTGAGTGCTCCATCACTGGAAGTTTTTAAGAAGAGAATGGGCAACCGTTTGTCGGGAATGGTATAGGGTCTCCTGCTTGAGCAGGGGATCGGATTAGAATGCCTCCAAGGTCGCTTCCAACTTTGTTATTCTGTTAAATTCACCAAAGGCCAAATATAACGAAGTGTTTTTATAATAATCTTCAGCTATCTTATAATACATGTATTTTCAAATGATTACTCATTTCCAAACAGGAAATAGCA